TTCCCACAATTCAGTTTCATTTATAAATTTGCCTCTTAGGCTAAACAGAATTTCTGTTTCATTGAGAATGAGCTGTCATTTAACAAAACATTGTTCACATTTATGAACTGAAGACCATGTAGAATGAACTGTTATTTATCTTTTTATTTGGCTGTGTCCTTTGGACAAATATCCCCCATCTTAATTTATTATTTATCTATTTCAGCTAATGCATTATTTAGCTTTCCTTATAGATATATATAAAATTTCTCAGAGTTAACCTGTAGAAAAAGACAATATTTATAAATGTAAAAGACAATAGGAAAGCTGTGATATTAGCTGACACATTTCATCCAATGTGGACTTTTTCAAGGCAAAAATGAAATGAATTTATTAAAACAAAGTAACTGATAAAACAAAATGTCCTTAGCAACTGGAAGAATTTAGAAAACGCTATATGAATATAATAATGTTTCTAAATTCTTTCAGTTGCTAAAGACATTTTGTTAGTTACTTTGTTTTAATGAAACACATCAGCTAAAATTACAGTTTTCCTATTGTCTTTTACATAATTACATATATATAGCCTGACATGCCTTAACCAATCAAGCCACGGAGGATCATTCAATTAGCAAGGTCAATTTTACTATTTTTAAACTTCAATCTTCCATGAAAAACAGTAAAATCGACCTTGCTAATCAAACGATCCTCTGTGGCTTGATTGGTTAAGGCACATCAGGCTATATGATGGTTCTGTATAGGATACAGGTTCAATTCCTGTCAGAGGGCAAATATTTTCTAAGAAAATTTCTTGGACATTCAGGCTGGTAAATGTTATTAATACTGTTTATTATAAACAGAGCATTTACTTAAATATTTATATCTATAAAAAGAATGTATAAAAATAAAAATAATTGGCAGACTTTGCCCATTTCATAATATATATATATATATATATATATATATAGCAAAAAAATACAAAATTACTTCATGTGGGTATAGCCTATTTCAAACTGGTGCAACCTTACACAAGTCCTCTTCAACCCTGGACTGATGCAAGATTGTGCTGGTTTGAAATAAGCTATACTCGTATGAGGTAATTTTGGGATTTTTTGCTGTATAATATATATGCTCTGTTATAATAAATACATTGAGCTCTCTTTGTGGATCAATTTTAATATTTGATATTACTAGTATCCACTTGGATTATATACCAAAAGATCTATTACATGTACTATATATATATATGCTGGACACTCCCGTCATATTCGATCAACTCATTTTGTAGAAACCAACAGCCAGACTAACTGTACAAATCATTTGATTATCGTGGTGAAGGCTTTGTGCAGAACCAACCACACTTTTTGAAGAGCCAAAAACACAGAGACCTGGTGTGCTACATGCCACAAGGTCCCCAAATGACCCCTACGCAGGTTTTGACTTCAGAGTTGTTCTTCTCTTAGACCAGTTGCCATCCAAGACTATAGAACCCAGTCTGTCCTGCTATTTATCCATAGCTGGGGAGAGGGTTGGAGAAGAAGAGGATTAATACCTTTCCCAAGGGTATTAGCATGTAAGTGAATGTAATGGATTCAAGTGGAATTCAAACTCAGCTCGCTGATTCCTTAGTTCAAGCCACTATTCATTATTCTACCATGCCTCTCTCTCTCTCTCTCTCTATATATATATATATATATATATAGTTTATCTTAATATTGCTCTGCAATTTAGGTATTGAGTACTTTATAAAATCAATACGGACTTGTCCTATAATTGATTAAGTGAGTGATATATATATATTTCAATGGAGACTGAGGTCAACACCAAGTGGCAACAGTCTGTTTTATGCATGTTGTGTTTTGACTCGACTATATATACTTGTCTTTTATATTATATACACATATTGAGCCCTTTTACCCATAAATATAGGATACCTTAAAACTATACTTTTATAATATATGTGTGGGCAGAATGTTTGCTTTTTGGCCATGAGACCCAGGTCAAATCTCACCATGGTTGATTTATAAGGAGAGTAGTTACTTTTTGATTTAATCAGCCTGAGGAGTTGATCCTAGTGTGTGGCACCCAAAAACTATACCACAGGTTAACTCAAAGCCTGTGATGGGAACTGGGTAGACAGATTCGTTTAGAAGTCATTGTGCTAGCACAAAGTCACAACTCATCATGACCGAGGGCCTTAAATAAATACTGGCTTTGTAAAAAAAAAAAATTTATCACACTAGATTATGTACTTTCTCACAAAAACTTTAACTAAGGTCCGCACAGCATATTTGAAATATAAACTACATCTAACTACATCTGTGGGTTAAAAGGGATTTTCTAGCCACCCTGACAAATGATCGTGCTTGGAAACTAGTAGCCAAACATTTTATATATATATATATATATATATATATATATATATATACATTTAACTCACACATCCCATTCCCAGCAACCAATAAAACTGTCAAAATGACTAAGGAGGGAATTCTTAATCAGGAATCTCCTATCCTCTATATTAAAAACCAATTGAAAGAGGCCATTTGACCAACACAAGAACTGACCAAAATTAACAATAAAAAAACTAATGAAAACTACAGATAAAGTTCACTTTCTTCAGAAACAGTCATTCACTCCTTTAGTTTACTGCTACTAAGAAGCAGGGATATTTTTTTCTCCTGATGATGGCCATGCTGGCTGAAACTAGTCAAGGAACCTAATTGAAATAATAAAACAAAAAGATTTTTTATGACCTAGTGTGTCTGAAAATTTTAATTTTTTATTGTTCAAAACACACAATATATATATATATATATATATATATATATATATATATATATATATATTCATTCAGTTGCATGGATATGAGTTTGTAACCCTGGGTTTCATTCTATGATCACAAAAGTGTGAAACCCAGGGTTACAAACTTATATCTATACAACTGAATATGTTAGCTCCATCACAGATATTGAACACTTCCCACTAAGTACTGCATATATATATATATAGAGAGAGAGAGAGAGGGTAATTGAATGATAAAATAGAAGAAAATATTGTAATCCATTTCATCCTTTAAAAGGACTTTATAAGACTAAAGTATTTAAATAAACAATGAAATAGTAAAGCATTGTAAAACTGAATGAGATCGGCTGAACTGTGTCTAGACACTTTGAATATCAGAAATTTTAAAAAATTTAGCATCACTCTATCTTCAGTGTTTCCCTTCAGTAAATAATTATAACTGACATTTATCCCCACATTTCCTACATAAGTCCATTACTTTAGTCTGATGAAGTCCTTTTACAGGATGAAACGTGTTACAATTTTTTAAATTTTGTCATTCAATTACCATATAAATTTATATATATATATATCATGATCTCATATGTCTTATAGCAATTTAGTAAGTGTATCTTAATTGTGTCAAATCTTATATATTACTAGTAGTAGAGCCTGGCGTTGCCCGGGGATGTAACAGTAAGAGATAGATCAAGTATCGACCATCATAAAGACTGAAAAATAAAATTGACAAAGATTATTGTTTAAGGTTGACAGACACACGTCTTAATTAGTTTTTTTTTTTTTTGTTTACAAATTGGTCAAACCCAAACTCAAACAAAAACATTGTTTTCAATCGTTATGAGTCTACCGATTGAATAGAATTTTATTATAAACAATTGTCTTGTAAATGGAATTTTTAAAGCATTCTGAATGTAAAAATAAAGAAAAAAGTAAAAAAAAAGACAATAAGAAACATTACCTGCCAAAAAAAAAGTGAAGTTTTGTTGAAATCGGTTGAAAAATGTAGGAAATCCGATCCCATATATAAACGAACACACGCAGACACACAAACAACCTGGGTTTTATAATAAGTATAACTCGATATGAGTTGTCCCCCTTTCATTCCCCCAATGTCTCTTAATGTTTTCAAATTGATTTCATGCAAAAACAATTGTGTTTTTCCAATTTTTGGCACTGTTAGAACCACCGCAAGGTAATTTTACGTAGTCCTGGGAAGTTTTGTTGAAATCGGTTGAAAAATGTAGAAAATCCGATCCAATATATAAATATACACACACACATAATCTGCGTTTTATAATAAGTAAGATATACAGTTCCAGGTTTGCTGAAAAAAAAAAAAAACGTCAAGGGAGATAATCAGTATGAGAAATCTTGCTCAATCTATTGATTAAATCAGCAAATGTCTTAATATTTTTAGCATGTGCACAAAACACTGACAATATAATTTTTTTTTTTAACTACAGAAGTCCATCAGTGCTGCTTTTTTCTTCTTCAAGCAAGGTTCTTGCATAACATTGAACTGAACCTATTTATGTGGGAGTTGATAATATAACCAAATCATTCATTCATACTTTATTTATTGTCTTGCTGTGAAGTTCACTTGTTATCCATGATTTTTAACGCTTTCCATTTGATTTCATCATTTTTATTCAGCTTGTGTTTATCAAAATGAAAGCATTTTATTTGTGTTGTCATGCAAATAATTCTCTCTGGTTTTAAGCTTGGCTCAGTCACAGAATTGTGAGATGATTTTTGTTCTATTTCGACATTTCTCTCTTGTGGTAAAGTTAAGAAAGAAAAAAAACTTTTTCTTTATTTGTTTTGTGTTTGTCAATTCATGTGTGCAATCTTTTGATATTCATTAGCTTTTAAATTAATAGTAAAAGTAGACATACAAGACCATAGATATACTTGGACATGGGTGGGAGGTGCATGTCTTTTCTCAGTAAATCAATAAGTCTATAAACTAATTATGAAAAAAAGCATCTGTTTTATACAACAAATACTTATTTTTTCAATTATAATTCAATAATTGTGTCAAACTTATCACACATCATTGTGTATTTGCTTCAGGAACAAAAATTAAGCTTATGTATTAACAGTATTTTTTTTTTTAATGTCTTCATATTATATTTAATGCAAAGGTTTATAAACTATGATGCTGTTTGCATCAGCCAAAAACCATTCTCTGTTCATTATTTTTGTTCTGTTTTCAGGCCTACCCAGAAATCTCCAATACCGTTAGATCGATTTGAAGAATCCATGACGACTCTCAGTGTGCCTCCAGAACGACGCAGAGGATTCCAAATCCAGGGCAAAGCAAAAGTCTTGTATCACTTCAGCGCCCAAAATCCAAAGTGAGTTTTACAACTTCTACTAATTATCGACTCCTATTTCTTTCATCTGTTGTTTTTTTTTTTTTTTTGTGGTAGCCTTTGAGTTGACAAGCAAAAAAATTATATGCGATTAATTGGTTGAAAAAAATAGAAAAACAAGTGAATAAATAAATAAAATGAGACAGAAATTTTTATTTTATCAGGAAATTTAGCATGGATAATGTTCAAGGATAGTTCCTAAAAGAAAGTATAAATTTTCGGAATGTTCTCATGATAGCCTTTGTAAAAAGAAGAAATGAATGCGTCTTTGTTGGTGAGTGAAAGTGTGGGCGCTGTGTTATGTCTAAGCCATCTGTGTGTCCTCAGAGCACCGAGTTCCACATCCTGCCTCATCTGCAGTGCATTATAAAAAAAAAGGTCTAGCTTGTTTGAGAATGTGTTGGCAAACAAAAACCCCAAACATTGAATTTATTGAAAGAAGTAGGCAGGGAATAAAATTTTTATTCTATTAGGAACTTTTAATATAAAATATTCAAAGATACTTCCTGAAAGTGTAAATTTAAGAAATGTTCTCATGATAGTCCTTGTAAAAAGGAAAAAAAAATGGAAGTGGTTGAACTTGCTCTGATGGTGAGTGAAAGAGTGAATGAGATGTCTTGTCTAAGCCAAGTTTGTGTCATAAGAGCACTGAGTTGTGTGTCATACCTCATTTGTGGCATGGTATGATAGACAGCTAGCCTTTTGAGATTCACATTACACAGGCTTCCAATTTCTGAAAGAGAGTGTAAATTTAAGGAATATTTTTATGATAGTCCCTGTAAAAAGAAGGAATGAATATGGTTGAACTCTGTGAGTGAAAGAGTGTCTAGGCCATGAATGTGTGTGGAACCACTGATATTCGTATCTTGCCTCTTAGAATTTGCACTATGGATACTCTTAGTTTTTTTATGCATACCAAAAGCTAAAAAAAGAGTAGCTTCTGATAATAGGGATTTTTAGCACATGCATATATGGCTAAACAGTGCGTATTGGTTGCTAAATATATTAATTTGGTCGACCATGATTGGCCACAGCAGTGAGTAAACTTCACAGATGGAAAAGTCTTAGTGAGACTTGAACTCTTATCCCCTTGACTTTGGAATCTATACCATTTGTTCTACCATTTGAATTATGGAAGCCTATGTCTGTTAAAAATAAAACAGACCTCATTCTTAAATTTAGACTTCTTTCTGATCACTTGATGTAAAAAAAAAAAAAAAAAAAAAAATTAAGCTTAAAGGTAATTATGCCAAGCATTATTCATCAGTTGTGTTATTCCAGCACTCTGAAGAAGTTGTTTTACAATTCATATTTAAAATAAAATTAGCCATTTTATAATCAAAAGCCATAATAAGCAATAGGAGTTATCTCCCTTGACTTCATTTGAACTTATCCAATGAAAATGATTCAAATCATTTCAACTGAAATATTGTATGATGTGGAAAATATTCACTTTTAAACTGATTTTTAATTTTAGTAAGAAGCAGAAAATTATTATGCCGTATTCTGTTATATTAAAACTTGAACATACACACTTATACTTTTAACGAAATTGTGTGGATAGCGTAAGTTATCAGCACAGAAAGTGAAATTAGGAATCCAAGATGAAATTCTAGCCTTTTTTGTCATTCCCTTTCTCAATAATGTTCTCGGGAAAGGCATGAATCCATCTCTTCTCCTCCCTCTGTCAGTTATGGGTGAATTAGCAGGGTAGACTAAGCTATCTAGTCTTGTGTGGAAAACTGCCTAAGAGAAGGAAAACTAAATTCTAAACCATGGCAAAGACAGCAGGAAACCACTCTACTATTTTTCCCAAAATTATGACAACTCACAGATAATAAAGAAAAGGTATCTATGGCGAGTCATGATTATTTATTTTATGACATTTAAAAAAAAAAAAAAGACTGAACATCATCGGGAAAATATCATTATTTAATAAGTATATTTTATGTCTTCTGCTTTTTAGTACAAATTTTAGATAAATGACTTTAGGGAATAGATAAGATAAGCTTTAATGTTGAGGTCATGATACATGCTAAGTTTTAACAATGAGGTCATTCATTATAAAATATAGAGTATGCCAATTAAAAAGGGAATAAAAATATTTTCGTAAAAATAAAACCAATTTTGTGTTCATAATTATAATAAGAGAATTAAGTTTATACAACAATTGCTGATATATTTGTGGCTGTTTAAGTAGATATAGTATTAAGTTTGATAATTCAATAAAACAGTCACCAGTATTAAAACAAAGTACATTTCATAAATAATATATATATATATATATATATATATATATATATATATATATATATATATTAACCACAATAAACCCTTAAGGAAAAATAAAAAGTACATAATTGACTACATAGCAAAGGAAACTCAGAGCATCAAAATCAATGCTGCACAGGCATGAACCAAAGATTTTCGTTTGTTTTTTTTATATATATATATATAGATTTTTCTTATTTACAAATACGAAAAATTCTTTACTTAAAACTTGCTGTTCACTAAAAAATATTTGCTCTGAAAACTTTGTTGATCTAATTTAAATTATTTGACATAGATTATAATAAAATCCGGTTGTCTCCCTTTTACTATGGTTTCACTTGAGACTCAGTTACTACTGATCAACATTAGATATAAAAAAATTTTTTTACTTAATATTTGTCTCATAGAACAATGGCAGTGATACTGGCTTAGGATCGGTTAAACCATAAAGTTTTATTGTCAAATAAAAGTTCCTGGCTTAAAAAAAAAAAGATTTTACATTAAAGTTGCTAAACTAAGTTAAGAATGTATTTTCTATCTATGACACAATGTTTATTGCAGTATATTCAGAGCTGGATTATGACCCCTTCAGGGCGCCCTAAGATAATGAAATTATGGGGCCACCCACTACCTCGCCTGCAGCCATCTTGAATATTTTTTTTTTTTTTTTACTCATGATTTATTTGAGTGACATTGAAGTAAATTTATTGCAAATTCTTTAAATAAACTAGAATAGCTATCTTTGTTTGTCAATAAAAATATTCAAGAAATACCACCATTTTACAATTTATTATTAAACCATATCCACAAATATTTCAACATAACTGTAGTAAAACAATATTGTTATAACCAGCATTATCACAATCAAAATAAATGAGTTTGTCATATTAAAAGTTATAACATCAAGAAAATTAAAATCATTGCTTTATAAAAGCTTGAGGGGCCTTGGGCTGTAGCCTATCTGACCCTAAAGGATAATCCAACACTGAGTATATTGTTATAGTTGTTCCATTTTAATAACTATTATTGTTACTCTCTAAAGATATGAGCCCAGAAGAATTATTCCATGGTAACACCTCGTCTCACCAACTGTGAGAGAAAACTTATTTTGAATTTTAAAATTTTTGAGGTAAAAGCACGTATTGCAATCTGTAATTGTTTGGAAAATTTCACTTTTTATTCACCATAACTTTATCGAAAGAAAAATGTCATCACTTCTTATACTAGCAATTATTATCTTTTGTACTAAGTCATTTTTTTTTTCGCATTTCTTTCCAGGGAATTGTCTTTACGGAAAGGTGACATCGTTTATCTACATCGCCAACTTGATAAAAACTGGTTTGAAGGAGAGAGACATGGACGTGTTGGCATCTTCCCTGTCAATTATGTGGAAGTAAGTAATAAAATTTGTTGTATCAGACAAAATTCTTGCAACACAAAGTAAAATAATTTATTATTTGAATTTTGGGTATTGTTAAATTTACCATTTTAAATTATTTCTTTAGGTTAAACACTGAGTTACTTTCTCTGACCTCATAGCTTTGCAGTAACTAGAATATTAATCATTGAGAACATTTGGATATTTTCAAAATAAGTTAGCAAGTAGAGAGTAAACTCCCTTTAATGAAGAATGCATGATGGGAAATACCATGTAGAGAATTGATGTGTTGCAGGATAGTAGTATGTTTGGGTAAAAATAAGCATCACCTCTTTGGTTGTGATGTGTATAAACATTTTATATTAAATGTTTATGAGTTTATAGAACATTTATCCCATAAACAATATTGGTAGACTCAATACGAGTCCAGGTAAAATAAGAAATACAAAACAATAAATATAAAACAAATGACAATGTACGTTATTAACAAAAGGAAATACATGTGTAGACAATTGTAATGAAAGGAAAGGAAAAAAACATTAACAAGCAAATTCATCTTATAACTCATTTTAATCTGTGTGTATGATAGACATGTGTGAGAGAGAGTTCAAATGAGGACCAAGGAAGTGACTGTCCTGGGTATAACGATAAACTACATCCACATCCTAGGTAAGGCGATAAATTACATCCGACAGCAAGACCTCTGATCTAGAGGTTTTAAGGAGTGTGGAACCACCTCTTAATTGCTGGTATTCCCAGGTCCACCCTAACCCAGGGTGGTAGAACCTGTTAGGGTCCCAGCCATGGGCAAATAGTTAACCCCAAATTAGGGTCAAAACACTATGAAAGTGTAAAAATAGGTTTTAATAGCAGCAATACATTTTTGTTAAAAATTATTACCAGCCATGAATTTTTGAAGAAAAAATATTACCAGCAATACGTTTTTGAATGAAAAAAAATTAAAAAAAAAAAAATTACCTGCAATACATTTTTGAAAAAAAAAAAAAAAAAAATAATTACCAGCAATAAAAATCTAGTCAGCATTAAATAACCCATTGTGGTTGATATGCTATAAAACAAACCAAACCAAACCAAGGAAGTGAATTTACCTAGTCAGCAGCATCCTTTATGAACGTCAACTACATCTGGAAGCAAGAGCTAAAAAGTGGGTGAGAGAATAACATGCTTTTCTATAGACTTTAAAGAGCATCCCCCCCTAACTGATGTTTTGATAAAATCAAGTAGTTTAACCTACAAATGCAACCTTATTTGAAAATATGATTTTATAAATAAAACTCATAGCTTTTTTTCTGTTTTTGTTTCATTGAAGCCTAATAATATGATTTTTGTCCAGTGTTGTAGGCATTGAACAATTCCTTTTTTCACACTGTATGGATGGTGAGAAATGAAGTCTGTTGATGGTTGGCTTGTGATATACAAAAGAGATTTGTCCGATGCCTATGATACTGGGCAAAAAATCATGAGTGGTGCCCCAGACACATATCAACAAGAAATGATCAGAATCAAGTGTACCCTTCACAATAACAATTACCTGGCAAATGCAACATCAGTCTCTGCAAGTGGAAACAAGAGTTAAGAAAGATTACCTGAAAATTGCCACAGTCTGTCTGTCTTATGTCAAGGGTTTATCAATCAGAAAAGATTCAGAAGATCTGCAGTCCATGCAATATCTGGACATTATTAAAAAAAACTGTGTGTACTCCATTCCTTGCAGTTGTGGTAAAAGTTATAAAGGTGAAACAAGCTGGTGCCTAAAAGTAAGGCTGGAGGAACATCAAAAACCCATAGTGAGACAATGACATCAGACATGGTTGATCAATGTCTGGAGGGAAAAATGTAGTCACCAACCCCTGTGGAATGAAGGGAAGGAATAACACTGGGAAATTAGATGTTTGAATGAGTCAGCACATATGCTAGGTTATCAGGCCTTAGTAGGCCTAGTATAGAAATAAATACAATATGTAAGCTACTAAAAAAGAAAATGGCAGAAAGTCTTCTGTAGCAGCAAAAGAGAAAATTTTTAATGCATGACAATCAGTAGCACTCATCAGCAGGCAGGCTAGGTTTAAGGCTCCAGGTTCTATGCAAACAATTGTCCCACAGGACAATAGTGGATTAATGTGTTTTTTTTCATGAGTTTGGTGATATTTGGACCAGCAGTAAGTACTTGGACTCAATGGAAAAAGGACAAACAATAACTAAATAGTACTAGATAAGTAATCACTAGTGGTAGAAGAACAGTCTATCACCATAGATTATAAAAAGGATTTAGTTTGGATTTCCTGTAGATTACTCAGATTGACATACACCTGATGAAGGCTGGTGGGTACAATGGCCGAAACATGATAACAACAAAAATGCAGATAATAGTCTGATTATAAATAACGTAAATAATAACTCCTCATCCAAGAAATTAAATATTAGGAAAATAATATTAATAAAAATGATATTAAGAAATTAAATATTAATAAAAATGATATTAAGAAATTAAATATTAGGAAAATAATATTAATAAAAATGATATTAAGAAATTAAATATTAATAAAAATGATATTAAGAAATTAAATATTAGGAAAATAATATTAATAAAAATGATATTAAGAAATTAAATATTAATAAAAATGATATTAAGAAATTAAATATTAGGAAAATAATATTAATAAAAATGAACCACATTTTGTTAACCTTTCCAAAACAAAAAAAAAACCCATTAATCTGGAAACCCGAGTTATGTTCTTAAATTGCTTCACCAGATCAAGACTTTCATGTGGATGTCATACATGACACCAAACTTGTTTGGACATATCTAAACTGTCAGCTGTATATAACCACTTTCTCAGATCACTGGTTAAAAAATGGCTTTAACTGAGTGAAGCCTGTATGTCTTGGCAATGACCATCTTTCTTCAAACCTTGGGAACTGGCGCTACAGAATCACAAACAAGGACCTTTACCAAATAACAGAAACAACATCACTTGAGGACTTTCAACAGCAGCAACAACTAAAATGGATAGCACATATAACTTGAAGAGATAATAATGACAGAAAATGTTGACATCCACCCCCTACTTCAAATAAAACGTTAGGAAGGAAGCACCTCCCTCAATATCAGAATGTGCGATAACAGCTACTGGACTACAGAAACTTGTTTTCCTGAGAAATTGTTTTAAGAGAAAGATTTTATAAATTTCAACTGAAAGTAGTAATAGCTGCTCAGTCAATTAATTCTGAATGTTTCCTTATAAGGAAATGGCTAATATTACCATTTCAAACTATTTTTCCTTTTTCAAAACTGATTTTAAAAATATTAATGGCATAAAATTAAGCTGAAAATACTTTTATTTTGTCAATGTTTTATTGATATTGTTGTGATCAATTTTATTTGTTAATAGATTGCGACGGCTATTAGGGAGATGTGATTACTTCAACATTTAAAAAAAAACATTATTCAGTATTATTATTGTTTAGGTAATAAGCATTATAATATAGCACAAATAGCTATATTGTGCAAAAAAGAATTTTTGACATGTATATAAATGACAGGAAGTTGTGGAGACACATGATATATATATATATATATATATAAACAAATGATACCATCCTGGGTATGATGATAAACTACATCCATGTCCTGGGTCAGATGATAAACTACGTCCATCAGGAGGTTTTGAGGAGCATGGAACCACCTCTTAATTGCTGGTGTTCCCAGGTCCACCCTGATTCGGGTGGTAGCACCTGTTATGGTCCCAGCTATGGGCAAATAGTTAATCCTGAAACTGGAGTAAAAATGGGTTTTAATACCAGGAATACTTTGTAAAAAAAAAAAAAAAATTATTATCAGCAATGAATTTTTGAAGAAAAAACACTATTACCAGCAATACATTTTTTAAAAATTTGAAAAAAAATATTACCAGCAATACATTTTTGAAGGAAAAAATTATTACCAGAAATAGATTTTTGACAAAACTAAATATTAACAGCAATAAAAACTTTGTCAGCATTAAATAACCCATTGAGGTTGATATGCCGTAAAACACAACAAACCAAATGAGAATGTATTATTAACAAAACAAAAAGTTACATTGTTGTGAGCAACAAAGACACTGTATATATGTGACAAAATAATGTATATGCATAAAAACATTTAAAGACTAGTGAATTATTTGCGTATGTAAAATGTGTGTAAAAGTCCTAGAGAAAATGAAGTTGCGTATGTACATGTTTGTGGATGCGTTTCCCAATAGACCTGCATTCTAGTGAGTCTAAGGAAAATAGGAAAAAGAGAATGATAGAAAATATTACAATGTATTTATAAGTTCAGAAAGCGTCCCCTAGTGGTGGTTTTTTTAGTTAGGAATGTAAGTGGGGTTAACTCTACAATACCATGACAGTGCCTCTCTTTCTACTGACATTTTCTTTATTTTTGTTTTTTTTCTCTCTCGCTTTTCAGGTTTTAACAACAATTGAAGCAGCTCGAGCAGCAGCTTTGCAGGCTGAGGGTCAGGCCAGAGCAAAGTACAACTTTGTAGCCCAGACATCTGTGGAACTAACACTAAGAAAGGTATTTCTGTTAACATAAATTTAAGCAAGTTTTACTGAAATGCTTTAAAATGAAAAACAAATAGAATTATTTTCTAATTCTGTTGTAATAATAAAAAAAGAGATTCTCTTTGTCATGTCAGAAAGTTTTTTCTCATTTGAGTCCATCTTTCAAATCTATAAATCAACCATCCGTCCTTGCATGGAATATTGCTGTCATATATGGTCTGGTGCCCCCACAGTACATCAAGGTCCTCAACAAAATCCAGAGATGAATATGCCATGTGATAGGTCCTGATCTGGCATCTAGTCTACAGTTGCTTTCTCACAGACATGCCATGGCTTCTCTCTGTCTTTTCTACAAGTATTTTCACTGCAGCTGTTCCAACAAGTTACTTTTGCTGGTTCCCAAACTGCATGAATTTAAGTGAGCTACTGGGCTGGCATCTCGGTCCCACCCTTTCACTGTCGAAATGGTCAAATGTAACCACCTCTTCTACTCAAACAGCTTTTTCTCTTGCACTGTGCGTCTTGCATCTGTGGAATTCTTTTCCTCTTACTTGCTTTCCTGATAACTATAATCTTCATATATTCAAGTGTAATGTCAATCGACATCTTCTGATACCTTGACCTTGTTCCCCATCCTTCTCTGTATGCTTTCCTCAAACACGCCTCTTTACTCTTGTCCTCAATCCTCTGTAACCCCTTGTGTACTAGTGGCACTACCGCCTTGCTTAGGGTGAATTGCTTTAAAAAAAAAAAATCTATTGATGCAATAATTACAGTTTTAAGTATTTGCTTAATAAATCCTACTTGTGATATCATAGGTAAGATTAAACATCCTGTTCCAACCACGAGACCAAGGTTCAAATCTCATTATGGATGATTTATCAGGGAAGTTACTTCTTGATGTTATCGACTTGGGGAAACAGTCCCAGCATGCAGCACTGACAGGTTGACCCAAGACTTGTGAGTGAAATTGGGTAGATAAAACATTGATGGTTGTGCCAGTCGGAAGGTGAACCTATCATCTGGTTCACACACCTCCCCAGTCTTTTGAACAGGAGTAGACGTTTATCCCTTGTTTCCTGTTTAGGATTGGGTTTGACATGAAAGGTAAATAAAATATGTTGATTTTTAAACAGGAGTAGATTTAACAATAATTGTGTTTTTGCTTTCTTTTCAGGGGGAACTGGTTGTCTTGTTACGAAAAGTCGATGAAAATTGGTACGAAGGTCGTACTGGCTCACGACAAGGCATCTTCCCAATCAGTTATGTGGAAGTAATTAGGCAACCCTCTACACCCTTAATAACACCAGCACCTTCAGTGATTTGCACCCCTATGACTGGTAAGTAATTTTTTCATAAAAATAGTATTTGATTAGCTGGACCCATAAAAATTCTACAAGTCTTATCTTATGTTTTTGCTCTTCTCTCACCCTTTACCTGTATCTTCTTGTTCTTTCCCTTATCCCTATCAATCTTTATTCTTGTTCTTTCCCTTATCCCTATCAATCTTTATTTTAATTATATTTATATTTAACTGTTATACAAATATGGATTACTTTCATATGAATGTATTTTACATGAATAATTTTGATCTATTGCAATTTTTTTTTTTTTTTTTTTACACTTTTCCATCTCTACCTGCTTTTCCATTGACTTATCCATCCAGAAAGCATTTCTCTCTATTCATTTTTCTATCCATTTGTCTTCTCTCTCACTCATATATATATATATATATATATATATATAAAAAAATCAGAGAAAGATCCCTGTTGCTGATGCCTGCTCAGGCACATCTGTGTTTATTCAACACCTACAGTGCCCACCTGTGGATTATACTAAAACTATGCTGAGCGGACTTTAGTGACAGTTTCTGGGAGAGAGTGTATAATCTGTCATGATTAGCAGTTTAAACAAACCCAGTATGCTCAAAACCATCAGTCACATTGACTTAGAACATCATGCTATTACAACCACAGATGAACAAATCCGTCTACCCAATATCACTTATGAGGCTTGGGTCAACCTGTAGGATGGTTTTCAGCCACTTTCCAAAGAGAGAATGATAAAAACACAAGAATTAAGAAGACAGAAGATAATTACTAACATTGCATTTAAATTTTTGAAGATCTGTTGTAGAGTTAGTTTTCACAGTGGAGGCTTGTATTTCACTAAGTTGGTCCTAAATTAGGGTCAACGTACAAAACGTTAGGAACTTGCAAATAATAGTTAATGACGCAGCAATCTAGTTGGGGTGGTTGATACTTCAATGTCTGACATCGACTGATTCACTCAACTCCACTGAGCTCAACTGGTCACTGCTACTACTACTTATTATCTGTGGGAGAGTCTATTACAATAGAATAGGTAATGTTCTGGTATAACAAGATCAAAGTCGGAAAGTAAGAAGCCGGAAAAGAGTTTCACAGGCGAGAAGTGCAAGAGAAGAAACGGTTAGGATAGAACTTAAGGTTACATCAAGTCATTTCCACTTTAAAATGAGAAGACCTTGCCTGTCTGGTGCTGTGCTTAAATTCATAAAGTGTAACAGAAAATGGGTTTGACCCGATAAAAGACTCAGAATTCGTTGCAGGAGGTGCTGTAAGCACCAGGAGTTATGTCCCCTTCCACAATGGGCTGTTGAGAGAAGAACTTCCACTTAGAGTAGGTGGTGCTGACTATTTGCATATGAACGATACTGGGCAGATATTAGTCAATAGCCAGCATGGGTCTGGGGCTGGGAGAACTATATAACACCAGTTCTTTTTTCTCAGTCAGGAGATTGCTCTTAACATGTGGATGTATGAAAACCAGGTCAGACAAGACAAAGTTGAGATAACGAGGAGGAAAGCTCATCAGAACAATTACTATGAAAATATTTATAGAAAAAGCACAAGGAAGTTAATTCCAGAATAGAGAAAGTAAAAATTACCCACACTCTTGTCTAAAAGATATGTTATGGCTAAAATGCAAATTTTTTTTTAATTAGCCTCATATATATATATATATATATATATATATATATATATATATATATATATTTTTTAAAAAATGATTCCATCACTACATGTTTCAAAAACAGAAGCTAAAAACTTCCAATTCAGTTAAATTAGTTCTGTTTCATCCTCAAGCGAATTTTGGAACCAAAATTTTGATTCCAAAATTCACTTGAGGATGAAACAGAACTAGGTATTTTAATTTAATTTCTAAAAGTGAATTGGAAGCTTTTAGCTTCTGTTTTTGAAACATGGCAATTCCTATGTAGCGATGGAATCATTTTTAAAAAAAATAATTATAATATAAGCTTTACTTGTGTATCAAGCACTGTTTTTTAAAAATAAAAACAAAAATACTAAAGAACTTCGGATTATTAACCTAATGGTTCTTTCCTATTTTTCTATATATTTGCACATCTATATAAGAGGCACAGTGGTGGAGTAGTGTATAGCGGCTCGGGTTAAAGAATTGGAGAGCCGAGTTGGAATTCCAGTCAGATCCATTAGATTCACTTATGTGCTAATACCCTGGGGTAAGTGTAGGTAGCAGGACAGACTGGGTTCTATAGTCTTAAATGACAACTATTCTAGGAGAAGGACAACTCTGAATTCAAAACCGGTGGAGGGTTGTTTGGGGGCCTTGTGGCACATAGTGCACCAGGTCTCCATTTTCAGCCCTTCAAAAAGTGTGGTTGATTCTGCCCAAAGCCTTCACCACTATAATCAAATCATGTCTGCTGGTATCTGGGCTGTCGGTTCCTACGAACTGAGCTAGTTGACCATTATACATTGAATATGACAGGAGAGTCCACCATATATATATATATACACACACACACACTTTCAGATGGTTTTCTTTTTTCTCATTTCTTACCTCCTACCTTTCTTTCTTCACATTCTTTTTTTTTCTTCCTGCTTAATATGTAGGTTTCTTGCTCAGAAAGTGTAATTGATTCCAGCATAAAAAGCCAGAAGATTGGACAGATCCTTGGTAGAAAAGTCTAACATTCATACATCTAAACAAGCAGAATAAAAGAATAGACTAATTAATAGCGTTACTTGGTATTACCTACCGAGTTACCTACTCGGATGTCGAGAGCTATACTTTACATCTTCTGGAGACGACATCCAACTAAAAGACAGCTCTATGGACCCATTCCTGGTATTTCTACAATTCAGAATGCACATTGCAGGATACTGGTGGCAAGCAAAACAAGAACCTGAACCTGTGAGGGATCTACTGTTCTGGACCCCTAGCCATAATGCAAGACCGATTTGTTGCCCATCAACCACCTACATTGACTAGCTATGTTATGACACACAATGCCATCCTAATGACTTTCTGACCTAGATGCAGATCCATGATGGATGGCATGATAGACTCAGGAATGCCTGAACTAATTTTACCAAATAAATAATAATATATATTTAACATTATACAACAAGAATTAATCATATATATTGAACATTATACAGTAAAAATTTCAAATCAAAATTCACCTAATAACTGCCATGCTGTGGACATGACTCCACCTTCATATGCAAATGGCCAAGTGGTTAGAATGTTAGCCTTCCAACCATGAGACCCAGGTTCAAAACCTGTCATGATCAAGATGTCTGGGAGGTGACTTCTTCCTAATATTAGCCTCGAGAGATGATCCTAGTATGTGGCACCACTGGGAAGTACCTGAAAATCATACCAGTGAATGAATCTGAACTGTTCTGAAACCATCAATGGTTATGATAGCATGAAGTCACAAGTCATCGGGGCTGAGAGTTTGAGCATACTGGCCTTGTTAAAACTAGTGCTCATAACACAAATTATGCACTCATTCACAGAAACTAACTAAAGATCCACTCAGCATAGTTGCAGTATAAACTACGGGTTGGCTCTGTGGGTATTGAGTAAGCACAAATGTGCCTGAGCAGGTGTCTGCAACAGGGATTATCTAGTCTCTAGGCATACTTGGATATGGGTAACCATATATGTAATATGAGGTCAATGTTTGAAACATTAATCTATAAAAAAAAACATCAATGATAGATGGTAATTTTAATACTTAAATTTGTTTTTTTCTTTTGCAGCTACCCCAGAAATGCTTTCTCCCGTTGGTTATGATGCTCCCACTCCACCTCCTCAGCCATCTCCAAGTGCCTTTCACTACCAAAGATCAGGGTACAGTTCAAGAGTGCAAAGTCCCCCAGCTATTGTACCCACAATGGCCAATCAGTCCAGATCTGCAGCACCGTCATCTCTACAGTCGCCAGCCAGTGTTGATGGAATCACAATGGACATGGCCTTTTCCCCAAAGATGAAGCAGAGCCCACTTTTTCATCGGAAATCAATGTCTCCAACTGGTATCAAAACACAAACATCACAAGACGTAATAACGGTGACTAAAACCCACACTGCTGTTTCAGATGATGATTTAGCTTTAACAAAGTAAGCGATTTTCAATTTTGCTTTTTTCAAATAAAAAAACAAAAACAAAAAATACATTTAAAAAATAGATAAACCAGGAAAACCTACCTAGGTCTCACCTGAATGGATTATCAGAGCAATGCCAGCTTGCCCTGATGATCCGTTTAGGTGAAACCTAGGTAGGTTTGCCAGGCTCATTAGGATTATCTTAGGTTTTGCTCTGCTTCGTGTTTTGAGCACTTTACGTAGTTGCATTTTACTCATTTTGGAGTTGTTTTTTTCTTTAGACTTTGAGCTTGAACTCTGGATAATTGTTTTCGGCTTAGTTTAATGTTCTTGGTTCTTTCTTTTTTTTTATTCCTCATTTTTCCTTGGGTACCGATTTGTCCTACTACAAGTTGAACTATCCAAGGTTTTTCCAAGCAAGTACCACCATTTTTATAATTATATATACAATATGAGTATGTATAGGGTGCGATGGGTAAATTGTTGACGTTTTATCTTTTTAATTTTGCGCATGTACAATGGTTTTGATTTTGTCAACTATACAGTATAGTAGGGTCAGTTGGGCACCATCTGTGAGAAAAAGAGCACCATGACACAATTCACTCACAATTTAAAACAGAATACTGTACTTCTTGGCCTTTGCTCTGGAAGCTTCAATACAAACATTTCAGTGTTTGAGTGACAATCTGAGGACAGTGCAGAGGATTCGAAAAGAGTTGGATGAGTCTAATGGTGATTATGAATGTACAGCAGCTCAGAAAGCTCATTCTGATAAGAAAAGAACTTCCAAATTAGTTAGTTTGGAAGCCTATATTGAGGAGGTAGTGATGTCCTGAGTCAAGAGGGTGGCTGCTGGAAGCAGGACTCTTCACCATGCCACACAAGCAGGAGAATCCAGTCTTTGCTGTCAGACTATTTCTGCAACCACATCACTCTTTACATCTGGCCAGCTAACTCCCCAGACACTTGATTATTATGTGTGGAGTGCAGTTGTGCGAGAGGTGAACAAAACTCATTGAAACACCAAAGATGAACTGAAGGCAAGAATTATAACAGCATTCACCAACTTTAACAAGGAGACTGTCCGAAGAGTTGCAGGAGATTGTGAAGTTGTCTGAGCCAATGGCAATTTTATTGAATAAATTTACTCTTTAGTATTTGAAGATACTTTTGTGTAATTTTGGTAAAAATACATTAGATGTCAGTGTTATTTTCCTTTTTGCATAATTTAAATGACAATTTTTTCATCGCATCCTCTGTGTATGTGTTGGAGGCATGGTAGACTAATGGATAGTGGCTTAGATTGTGGAATCGGAGAGCTGAGTTTGAATTCCAGTCCTGTTCATTACACTCACTTACATGCTAATGACCTTGCGAAAGGTATGAATCCATCTCTTCTCCTTCCAGCTATGGGTTAAATAGCAGAACAGACTGGGTCCTATAGCCTTGGGTGACAAACTGTCTAGGAGAAAGACAACACTGAATTCGAAATGTGCAGAGGATCATTTGGGAAACCTTGTGGCATATTTTGTACCAGTTTCTTGTATTTGATTCTTCTAAAAAGCATGGTTGGTCCTGCACAAACCTTCACCACGAGAATTGAATGGTTTGTGTGGGTAGCCTACCTGTCAGTTCTAGGAACTGAGCTTCTTGATCCTCATACCTGAAAATGATAGGAAAACCTCTCTCTCTCTCTCTCTCTATATATATATATATATATATATATATATATATATATATATATATATATTATTATTATAAATTAATTGGTTTAAAATGTTTTTTTTTCGCTACACAGTTCTAACCATGTTTCAAAAATGGAAGCTAAAAGCTTCGAATTTAATTTTGTAATTAAATTAAAGACATGAGTTCCATTTCATCCTCAAGCGAATTTTGGAGTAACTTTTAAAATTACTGGGTTTTAAAGACACAGCAAAAATCATAATTTACGTTTCCAAGGATACATAGAAATCCACTTCAACCAGACAAGGGGTGTCTGCGTGTTAATTATGGCTTTATTTTGATGTATTAGTTAATCTTACTGTTCTTTCTTTTTGTTTATATATATATATATTTTTTTTTTTTTCTAAAGAAATGATGGATTTTTATTTATTACTCCAACAGATTTTATTACTTAAACATTTTTAGTGGATACCATATTTGAGTAGATGCTGCATTATTTATTAAACAGTATATTTATTTATTTTTGTCTACCGGCCTGAATATTTGAGAAATTTTATTAAAGAAAAATATGCACTCTCCTGCAGGATTCGAACCTGCATTCTTTTTGTCAGGAGAAACCGTCATTAAATCTGATGTGCTTTTGACCAACTTGAATCATTAATATCTGCTCTGTGGTCAAGAGTCTGAGAAAGATTTGCATTTATACGGCAATATTCAACTTTTCTTGATAGACCAACTCACCTATTGTGCACTCAGGCATGTCAGATCTAACAATGGTTTCTCCTGCAAAGGGAGACACAGATTTGAATCCTGCATGAAAGTGTATATTTTTCTCAGATGTTTAGGCCAGTGAACTAAAATAAATATACTCTTTAATAAATAAATGAAGCATCTACTCAAATATCAGTATCCACTAAAAATAAGTAATAAAATCCATCAGATTAATAAATAAAAATCCATCACTTTAGAAATTGCTTTGTTGGGGGATAATAATTTTTTTGATTTTGAAATAAATTTGAGAATAATTGAAATTGTGAAATCCAGCAAAAGTTACAAACAATTATTTTTATTTCATAGGTAAGTAAAGAAAGGATCCATGTACATCAAATTGTCTTTAAATTAAGTGACAGCAGAAGAATTATCGCATATGGCAGCAGCATTCCTTGCAGAAAGAAATCTCTGCCAACAGAGGGCCAGATTGCAATCAAAAGAGCCAAAGCTGCAGTAAGGAAAAGAAAGTCCTGTGCAAATGAAAACCTAGATCAAACGATAGTCAGGAAAGCTTCCAATGCTGAGAATATGCAAAATCTTAGGGACTCTCAAGCTCCTGAAATGATCAAGAGCCCTCCACAGGAGTTAGCTTAAATGCTGCCCAGTAGAATATATATATATATATATATATATATATATATATATATATACACTAGAAGCGTTGCCCGTGCTTGATTCAAAAATCGTATGACTCATACAGCAATCGCTATCACTTGACTTAAAATATTTTTGCCCTTCCTTGCCTTTAAAGGAGTGCCCTTTGCCATGCTGCTTATGTTACATGCCTTACTTCTTGCCTATCTCACACTTCAAATTTTTTCTAAGCTCTATACTAAACATTAAATCTGTTACGAAAAAAGAACTAAACAAAATGAAAACAAAATGATCAACTTTAAAAAAGGACTTGTAACTGGAAAAACGAATGAAAAAAGAATGTTAACAACAATTACTTTTTCACACCCAACCCAGTTCTGTGGAATCAGAATCAACGTTGAGTTTAAGCAAGCAAATGAACCAATTGGAGTAAAGTGCCATGCAGATTTAAATTTTTCCCACTTGCGACAAATGCAGCTATCAATTGTGTCAGTCAGTTGTTGGCTCTTATGCTGGCCAGTAGAATGTTCCTGCCTATTCGTGACAGCCAGCTATAGGCTCTCACTCTGGCCAGTAGAAAATGGCCACAAACTACATGAAAACTGCTGTAGAAGCATGAAAAAATTGATTATTTCTACTATGGATGGGAAATGCAACGTTGGTCTTGGCCTTCCCTCTAACTTGGAGCATGTGCATGTAAATTTTGGTGCAAATCCGTCAAAAATTGCGGCCGTGCATTTGTCACTCACACACACATCCTGCCTTATATATATACACACACACACACACACACTAGGGGCCAGGCAAACCTACCTAGGTTTCACCTAAATGGTTTTACCTAAATGGTTTTACCCTGAAGATCCATTTAGGTGAAATGTAGGTAAGTTTGCCTGGCTCCTCAGAATTATTCTAGTTTATCGCTCTACTTAGCGTATTGAGCACTCTGTCGTCTTTTTACGCATTTTGTTTTTTTTTCTTTGGACTTTGAGCTTAAACACTTGACGATTTTTTCACCTTGTTTTAATGTTCTTGGTTCTTTCTTTTTTTTTATTCCCAATTTTTCCTTGGGTACCAATTTGTTCTACTGCAAGTTGAGCTATTCAAGGTTTTTCCAAATGAGTACTACCATTTATATATATATATATATATATATATATATATGAAAGATGATATCATAAAGCATAAATACTGTTAGTGGAAATCTGAAAGGAGGTTTCAACAATTCCTCATTTTTCATTAATTACATCAAACTTCGTATGAAGATAACAAAAAATGAGAACAATGGCAATCAATTGCTGAAACCTCCTGAAGAGGGGACTGAACAATTGCAAAAAGGTTTCTCTACAAGACTCTAGAGTCAAAATGCTTAACATATATCAATCAGCTACGTAACAAATTTTATTTTAAATTTCATGCAACAACGTACATATAAGTTTTAGATCAAAATAAAATTCTTTTCATTTTTCATTCAAAATACTCAAATTTTAGGAATATGTTTTCACAACATCGCCCACGTGATGATGACATGATCATATTTAAACGGAACGCTGATCTTATAAAAGATTTTGGTTATCTGTTTGGATTGGTATTGCTTTTATGTCCATTGTCTTTTTTTTTCATGTTGAATTGTATATGGTCTATGTTAATTATGTTTTATGAATATGTCCTGAAGATGATCTATTAGACCGAAACGTCCGACGTTGACATTAGACATTAAAACAACATAATCGCATATTAGGATTTTTGTTTGTTTTTTCAGTATATTTTTCTTCATATATCTCAATCTCTGACAAAATTTTAATAAAAGTGGAACGTTAGATTGATATACATTTCCTATATGTTCTTTATTTTATCATCCTGTTGGATTCCAAACTGCATTTGATCTCTCTCTCCATATTATATATATATATATATATATATATGTGTGTGTGTGCAAGCTTTTTTTGTGATTGTCACAATCAAAATTCTCTATATGACATCTTCCCTAGAAGGAAGAAAATGAAAGTAGCAGGTCTTGCCACCAAGAATTGAGAATGACTTGAGTGAGATAGTATCCAAGATAAATCATATTTCTCTTTTTCTTCTTCTCTCCAGATATCGTGCAATCTATGCTTACAAACCACAAAATGAAGATGAATTAGAACTTTGGGAAGGTGATGAAGTTTACGTTATGGAGAAATGTGACGATGGCTGGTACGTCGGAACTTCAGGGCGTACTGGAATATTTGGGACTTTCCCTGGAAATTATGTGCAACCTGTATGTAAGTAATTCATTTAATTCCTTTTCTTTTGTGTAGAATCTTTCATGTCAATTCTGTTTGAATTTCAGTCAGTTCACTAACGCATATAAATTTGAATTTTCTCACCCAGATTATCTAGTTAATTTCCCATCTTTGAAATTGTATTTTATTTATTGGAAGCTTTTTATGATTCTTCATAAAAGTTATAGCATTATTGTCTCATCTCTGAATGAATTTGAAGACAGTGTCAAATTTCTTGCTGCCAAAGAACAAACATTGGTGTCTTTTTTGTGATATTATTAATTTCTCTCAATGTTCCTAAAATAAAAATTGAGAATCTTCTCTTTATATATGGAATAAGATTGATAAATATTTATTAGATTGCATATAACCATCTAATTATTATGACCACTCCTCCCAGGGAACAGTGACTTACAACAATATCACATTGCTTAACTCATATGAGAAATGGTGTTACAATGTTGAGCCTGGTCAGTACCTGGATGGGTAACCACTTGGAAATACCAGGTGCTGGTATGTGTGAGTGGTGTAGTGGATAATGGCTTGAAATTGGAGAGTCGAGTTTCAATTCCAGTCAAGTTCATTATATTCACTTATGTGCAAATACTCTCAGGAAAGGTAAGAATCCACCTCTTCTCCCTCCAGCTATAGGTTAATTAGTAGGAATTGTATCAGTAAATCATGATTATCTCCAAGAAAGTATTACAATCTAAAAATATTTTCTGGTTTGAAATGAGCTGCAAAAGGGTGATAAACCATAAAATCAAATCAATCAATCAATCCCTGGGAACTGGATTGACACACCTTGTGTCGTGATAAAAAAAAGAAAAATATCAGTCCTTAGATGTCCTGTTGTCACAGACTGAAATTTGGAGAGTGGTGGGAGTATTAAATGAATATTAAATTCAAACCATCATCCTCAGGCATTACCTCTCCCAAGGAGTCCCCAAAGCGAGGGAGTAATAAGAGGGCTTGAGTAATTTTTACCTTTGTACAAATTAATTGAAACAACTGCTTTGATTTTCTTTCTTTTACCATCCGGTCAATTTTTGACCCACTAAAGTGACAGGGTGTAATTGATTTCTATTTTTGCTCAGATTAGGTCATGTGCTGTGGTGTGCAGTTATATGAATCTATTTTTGGAGTGTATTCATGAAATTTTGCCTTGAAATATATTGCGTTATCTGTTATTGCATCAGATTTTCATCTTGCCCAGACACTACTGTCTCGACTGTTGATTAGTTATCCTACAGCAATTGTCTGCAATGGATGTTACTCCAAGGAAGAGTACGAAAATTGTAATGCTGCATGAACACACTGGCAATCTTTACCAGTAAGCAAGTCAAAGTACTGTAGACTGGTCTGGAAACTCTCCTGATTTAAATCTAATTGAGAATCTGTGATCAATCTGCAAGGACGACTTCTTGGAATGGACATACGAAGTACTAACATATACACTGAGTCATGTTTCATTGGAAAAATACAAAAAAAAAGTAAATAATAATGGAAATTATTTACGTTATTCGGACTATTGTCCTCATATTTATTACAACATTTCAGCTGTTGTACGCTCCGGCCTTCTTCAGGTGGTTAGAATGTCAAACTGAACCCTTTATTTCGCTCACTGGGGTAGACTGTTCTAGTTCCACGTGCTATGTTTAATAGTTATCAGTTATCTCCTGTTAATTCCCCTCACCAAGTTCTTCACTACTGTTTGGATCTAACCAATGCCTTTATCCACTGTGCCATGTGTCCTCAAGGACAAAGATGAGGACAATAGTGTAAATAGTGTACATAATACCTCATCTCAGAAATATAGACAGATAATAATGGAAATATTTGATTTGTTTCAATTAATTTGCACGAGGATGTAGTATAACATTTTGTACAACATGGTCGTACTAATTATCTCAAGAAACAGGATTGACACACCATGAGGAGTGAAAAAAAAAAAAAAAAAAAAAAATCTCCCTTAGAGTACCAGTTGTTACATTATTTAGACATATGTTTAGATTCTTTAAGTATAGATTTTATAAAAGTTGGTGATATAATAAAATGTATTTATTGATGGGAAAATATTTATTAGGCTTCCTTCTATCTAAACCATGTCCAGTGTAATCTAAATTCTTTCACTCTCCCATAAAACATCCCCCACTACCAGATATAAATAAAAATGCCTACTAGATGTGTACAAATGCACACACAATATCAACCAAATCCCGCATAGACCAACTAGAATGATGATACACAAACACAAGAATTATACAGACAAAAACTACTTGAAAAGATAAATACACTTGAGGTCTGCTTAACCAACAAAAAACAATGCAAAAATAAACAAAAAATACCAGGATTTTCTTTTCTCCTCCATATTTAATTTCTGATGAAGCTTAAATAAAAGTTAAGCATGTTAAACTTTTAAGCATTTCCTATTTGTTCCTTATCCTATTGGCTTACAGCCATATCATGTTGAAACACTGGTTCCTGTACAATCATCAAAGTTAAGCAACGTTAAACACTGGTTCCTGTACAATCATCAAAGTTAAGCAACGTTGAACCTGGTCAGTATCTAAATGGGTGACCACTTGGGAATACCAGGTGCTGTAAGTTTGGATGTGCAGCTGGTATAGTGGCTTGGGATTGTTGAGTGTAGAACTGAGTTCCAATTCCAGTTGGGTTCATTATATTCACTTGCACACAAATACCCTTGGGAAAGGTATGAATCCACCTTGTCACCCCTCCAGCTATGGATTAATTAGTAAGATTTGTATCACTAAATTATACTTATCTAAAATTTAAAAAAAATTCTGGTTTTAAATAACCTGCAGAAAATGAAATAATGAAATACTGATTAGCTACACAGGCATGTCTTTTAGAATATAAATGTATAGAAAGTACTGTGGCCACAAAGTGAAGAAATTGATCCCCCACTTTATTTCTTGTTTATCAAATTCTGATTTGGTATGAATCCACCTCCTCCTCTTCTAGTTATTGATTTATTAGTAACACTTATATTACTAAATCATACTTATCAAAAAAAAAAGAAAAAAAAAAATTACAATGTAAAAATATTTTCTGGCTTTAAATAACCTGCAAAAGGTTGATAAGCCATAGAAAATGAATCAGTCAAAATCTTATCCTATATAGATAGATAGATAGATAATATTAGTGGTAACACTAATATTCCATGGTCATAATTTAATTTAAAGTTTGTGTATATGGATATAGGTGGGTGGATATATGTGTATGTGTGTACATGCCTGTGTATATGTTATTGTGTATGTGTGTATTCGCATGTGTTTTTGAACATAAAAATATAGGTCCTTGCTAGATTAGATAATCGTTATATTTATTCTTTATATGTTTATATTTGAGTTGTAACCTGTAGTCGATATTAATTTTGTCAAATTTTCTCAATTACACAGTGGCCCTTTCAGTAAATGTCCTTCAATTTTAGTTACCCCCGCTCCATCTCTCTCCCCCACCTCTTATTCTGATCTTTAACATTAGATCGTCTATGGTGTGTGTATGTCACCACGAAATGTATCTTTAAATATATTAGACATCCGACAACATTCATATTTCCCCCTTCCACTCACCTCTATTTAAAAAAAAAAACCCCTCTCTGTTAAGTTTTTATCTCCCACCTTCTCTTGTCTGTTACCCCTCTCTTTAACATTCATCCCACACTCTCATACTTACACTCTCTGTAAATTCTATTTTTATTTCCGGAGTTGTTTTTTTCTGTTTTCTTTTTGAATTTGTAGGTCTGATGAATTGATCGTATTCTGATTCCAATGGAATAAATTATGACCATGGAATATTAGTGTTTAAGCCTTTTTATTATATATATATATATATATATATATAAAAATTATAACAAATATGTTATAAAATCACTACAAAAATAACCATTTTGTTTCAACACCTCCGGTGTCTTATCAAGTGATGATGTTGAATGTAAAATAAATGGTTTTAAAAGTTTCAAATTAATTAATGATCCTTCGCATGGGGAAAACGTTGTTACAAAAGCTAAAATGACCAATCAAAACACAAGTATAGGAAAATTCAAAAAAACTTGACAAGGAAGTAAGGTTATAATAGCTATTCAGAGCTTTAAAATTGGGGTTATATCAAAAAAGATTTTATTCTAACCAATAAGTATTAAATTATATGATAAAATTTGATATCAAAATTAAAAGTAAAAAATTACCAATTTTAAAATTTAATCTCTAAGTTTATCAATTTATTTCTTCATTGAAATTACATTAGAATAGATGCTAATGTCGACTAGTCCACCCAATAAATTTGTATACATTTTAATCCCAAGTGTGTGTGAATGGGGTCCTAACTTCTTGCATAATAGTAATTGTTGGTTATTGGAATTTATTCTGTATACACCAACCATATATTTGGATATATATATATATATATATATATATATATATATATATATATATATATATATATATATATATATTACGTTTGCAGTTTCTCTTTTCTTTCTTCTTTTTAATATATATATATATATAGACTGAATTTAGGCAGCATTTTTTCATTGATGCATGTTTCATTAAATAATATAGACAAGTTTTCTCTATTTTATGCAAATTCCTTTCATATCGTTTGATAAGCTTAATAACATTATCATTAAAAGATGAAAGAAAATCACAATATTGATACATGTTTTTTAATCCTATCTAAGCTTTCGGCTTATATAAGCCATCATCAAAGATGACAATAACATTACAATATATTAATTATTATTGTAATGTTTAAAATATTAAAAATAGAGCATTAATAATATTAAAATTTACTTAACTGTAAATATCAAATCCTTTTTGGTTGTTGTATCCCTGACTCCGAAGTTTCTTGGTGCCAACCATTCTTATAATTTGGAAGAAAAAAAACATTCTACAATTAGAAAAAAATTATGAGAATTAGAAATAAGAGATGTAAACAAAAGCATAAATCTATGAACACGCGCATGAGAAAAGACGCAAAATTCATGAGCACATGTACAAAACCGATTAAAAAAGACGCGGAAAAAATTAGAATTATACACATTTTAAATACAGAACCCGCTGAAGAATGGTTGGCACCAAGAAACTTTGGAATCAGGGATACAGAAAATAAATTTTGATATTTTATTTATTTTTATATTCTATATATATATATATATATATATATATATAGAAAAACTTATCTTAGCAAACATATTCATCCTATGCTGGACTTTATCATGGTAATTGTAAAGATTTTATTTTGCAACAAGATTTTATAAACAAAAATAAAAATGTTAGTATTTCAAAATTTTTTTTAAATTTAAGAAACACTCATAAATGATCTTGTTGAATTTTTTTTCATGATGTAATTTCCAAAGCCAACATACATGACCATAAAAATGTCAGAAAATTAAAAGAAATTGGTTAAATTCATAAACTCCTTTTATTTAAAATAAATGATACATGAGTGAATCCCAAACTAAAATAACATCAGTAATAATTACATTATAAAAAAAATCAACAAGATCATTTATTCACTTTTGTTTATTAGACATTAAATTATATCACTTAGCATCCTCCATAATTTCCCTAGACTTTTCAATTAGCCTGATGAATATTTGAGCATTTCTTAAATTTAAAAATTTTAAAAACCTTTTTACTTTTGTTTGTAAATACCTGTTTGAAAATAAAATCCTTGTATTTGCTTTGATAAAGTCCATGAGAGGATGATAAGCTTTCATTTTGTCTTTATTCATAGTCCTTTTACAGATATATTTTTATTTAGATATGAAATATATAATGATAGGTAGACATTACATTTTATGTGCAATATAGACTCAGCTTATGTATAATATGACCCCGGTAAGAGTGCTACCACAAAATGGTGAGATAAATTACTTACTGTAAAATATCCGATATGAAAATTTAGATACAATACTTTTCTTTCCATTAATGTTTGATTATGATAGCTCCTTTAGCCCAGGCCTGCCTTTTACATTAGCCAAAGATATTATGACAATGTAGGCTTAACATGTTGTGTTATTGTACTTGTATATAGACCACAAAATTATCCACTTCAAAAAAAAAAAAATTTTATAGTGCAACTCCCTATTTTTGGCAAAAAAAAAACAAACTAATGTCTATATCTCTGAGATGAGGTATTATGATTATTTAAATTATTCGGACTGTTATGCTCATCTTCATTGCCATATTCACAATGTTTTGGTCGTTATACGCTCCGGCCTTTATGTCTATGTCTCTCTATATATCTGTTTATATCTCCGAGATGAAGTATTATGATTACTTGCATTATTTACGTTATTCGGACTGTTATCCTCATCTTCATTGCCATATTCTTTCAGCCAGAGCGTACAACAGCCAAAATGTTGTGAATATGGCAATAAAGATGAGGATAACAGTCCGAATAATTAAAATAATGCAAGTAATCATAATGCCTCATCTTAGAGATATAGAGACTGAAACATTGTGAATATGGCGATGAAGATAACAGTTCAAATAATGTAAATAAAAAAAACTGATCATAAAAACTCGACACTCAATTGACAGAATAAAACTTTTGGATTATGTGTGTCTGAATTTGGTTCATTGATTTGCTGTTAATATAATTTTCTATTGAAAAGGCAAATTTCAAATGTCATGTCTTACAAAACTTCATTTGCTTAAATTGTGAGTTTACATTGATTTTTTTTTTCTCTTTTCTTCCTACAGGATTCAACAACATTGAAGAAAAATATAAAAACCAGAAACCAACTTTAAAAGCTTTTGAAGCAAGACAGATCTTCAAAAGATTTATAAATTATTTAGAAGAAATGTTCCTTGTTTGTGTTTCTGAACGACACTGCAATATTATCGTCACTGGCTCAACTGGCACAGCTTTACCCTAGATCAATTCTTTCAGTCTATTTTTTAACCTGCAAATATTCACTCAAACCACTGCAGGAAGTCAACGTAGAATGCACGTCATTATTATTATTTAGGCTTTTATTCTTTGTGTGTCTGTCTTATTGCACATTCATCTCTTTTTTTCCCCCCCTGGGCAATTTTATTTTCGCTAGATCTTGAAGTTTATATATAAAGCTTGTAAAGACTGCCATTTGTGAAAGATGGTTCTGTTGTGTTGTTGCTGCTGATGATGATGCCTTATTAATTCAATTCTTTTTGAGTCAGGTTTTTAGTGAAACGTTTATTTTAGTTTTTAATCACTCCAGGCAAGAAAAAGAGCGACTGATTAATAATGTCTTTTTATTTATTGTTTTATTACCAAGCAGAATTTTACTGTCTGCTTCATGAGCAATGAGAAAGGAATGGGAAAAAAAAAACTCCAAAATTCAGTTCAGCTTCATCAAAAGAAAGAAAATAAAGATCTTTGAGGTCCTTTCTTTTGCCATAAGATACACACAAATACCATATAAAGAATATACATTATTTATATTCAAATATAGAATGACCCTGTAATTTATTAACAGAACTCAATGGGGGTAGGGAATCATTAATCTTGAAATATTTAGAAAAACAACAGCTTATAGCCAACAAAGATTTTTTTTTAAAATATCAAAATTCAGTCTTGTTTGATTACAAACACACACTATATATTTTACACAAACAACATTCAGTACTTATCATTATTATACCTAATTATCACCCTAGTGTAAAATTGAACCCTTTATTAGCAGAAATTATGTTAAATTATATAATTTTACCTACATTGCTAGTATTAATAGCTAGCATCATTATATATATATATATATAAACATTCAAGCAACTAATTATTATATATGTAAGCCTATATCGACTGTGCTGCCTCAGGGTTAATCCTATTAGTTTCCTAATAGATTTTTTTAGTCAGTTTGTTACAAAATTGAGTACCATCTCTATTCAACATGTTTTGTTTTTTTTTTTTTATTTCAAAATATTCAGATGGGAGGAATTCATTTTTGTTGATATATTTAAATTAGCTCTTGCTTCATTTGAAAATTATAATCATTTTTGACTCAAGGTTTTTAATAATAAAAAAAAAGCCTTGCATACACTGATATTCTATTACATATGACATGATTTAAGTTTTGTATTCTTGTCAGTTTTCTGTAGAGAGAGAAAACAAATGCTAATAATGAATATCTACACTGTTTATGGGATGCAATTTTGTTCTGTTCTCTGACTCAGATCCTTATTTAAAGTCTCTGAGCCATTGCTAAAAAGTTTCATCTTCCAAGCAGGTTAGCTCCCTTGACTTTCCTGCCTGCTCAAAAGATGACTTTTGTTGATGAAACAAAGAGTCAATAATTGGTGACAGATTATTGAACATGTTAGGATTGCATCTTCTTCCTTTGGGTCTGACTGAAAAAATTTTGGAGAGAAAGAAAAGGTTTTCTAACTTTTAATATATAAATGGGGCCATATTGTTAAATCTTCAAACACTTGATAACTTTTTTTTTTCTTTCACATGAAAGAATGGTCAGAAAAAGAAATAATTTCAATAGGCAAATCCGATCCTTCAAAATAATTGTTTTATTATTTTCTTCAAGATTTAACCATCAGGATTAGTTGAAATTTATTTTTAACTTGAATTTTGATCAATTTTATTTTTGGCATTGAAAAGTTTTCAATGTTTAAATTGCAATATGGTGGCCTTGAAATACAAATTATTGCTTTTAGTTTTTCATTAAATTTAATTAAAACAAAACTCATTTATTTATTTTTCATTTCACCTAACATTTTAAAAAGTGAAAATTTTGCTGTTTTTTTTGTTGTTTTTTTAACAAAAGTGGGGGGGGGCGAGAATTATTTCTTGCTGAATCTGTACAAATGACGATTGATATCGCTCTTGACAAAAGGATTTGACCCAGTTATAATGATTGATCACTGAAAAAGAAAGAAGTCAACAATTTTTCAGTGATCAATATGAAACTGAGTCACTGCTGAAAACAGAAATAATAATAAAAAAAAAACCCCAAAAAACAGTTAAAAATTGAGATAGATCAAGCTAATGTTTAAAATCTTTATCAAGCTGAAGTTTTTGGACATTGGAGCAATGAAAAACTTTGATAAAGGAGCAGACAGATGAACTATTAAAGATATTTTGCATTCATTTCTGTTGTTTCAACAAAGAAACACTGCAGTATTAATTTTGGTCAACACAGTTTTGTTTTGTTGCTATTATTTAAATATAAAGATTTGATTTTATTTTCTTTAGGCCTAGCTTCCCTTGGATGCCTTTCAATCCCTCAGCTATGCTCCTACTTAAACTCTTCTACTGACAACATTTAACAAAAATAAATTAACTTTTCAGTTTGTAGATGAATGATTTATAGTCTGAGGTTTTGCTGTGTATAAACCAGTGGAGGGATAGAAAACCTGTGTCTCCCAAATTTTATTTCTTGGATATGTCTGTCTGAGTCTTTTTTTTTTTTTAAAGATTGTTCTTGTCTGTTAAGTATTTTTTTTTTGTTTGTTTGTTTGTTTGTTTTTGGTGGGGAACACAGTTTTTTTTTCCCCTCTTATGTCTGAGTAGGTATCCAGTTTACTTGTTTTTCTTATAAATTAAAATTTTGCCTACTTTGTGTTTTCTCCATATATATATATATATTTAAAAAAATAATTTAAGATCTCAGAAAATCTCTTCTGTTACCTTAAAGCCAACTAAATAAAAAGAAATATTTTTGCAATGTTTAAAAACAACCTCATGAGTGTTTAAGCAAATGGAAAATTTTGAATTAAAAATAACTTAAAGTAAAAAATGAATTTATTTTGCTGAGAATTAATTTACACTTAGCAAGCAATAAAAATATTCTTTTAAATTACAGGATATTTTATTTGCAACATTTAATTTTAAATGAAATTCAAATTCTTATACTGACTTCAGCGAAATAATATATGCACCTATTTGAAATTTTACAACTAATGACAAATCTTTTTTAAGGTAAACTTTCTAAATTTCAAAGCTTTGATTTCTTGGTAGCTAAAAAAGGATAAATAAATTCTCATTTTCAATTCAAAAACAGTTTCTTTCATTTCCCAATACCAAGCCATATTTTTAAAGTTCATAGTACTTATTACCACCAATAATCTAATAGTCCATGCTGATAGTATTGTTATTTTAACTTTTTTATTTAATGAATGAAATAAGTGCTAAGTGTACTTGGTAAGAGTAGACAACTCTGCAAATGCCTTTGTCAACTCTTGTGTTACTGTTCCTTGAAGAATGCTGGTGATATAGTTCCCTAACAGAATCTCCACAATATATTCTCTCATCCCAGGAATACCCAACCTTGCTACATACAGTTTTTTGGTCTTTGTGGTAACCAGCCATCAAGTTTTCCTGCCAATACTTACTATCAACCACCGTTGTTCCTAATGCTACTATTTGAAACATAAAAAAAAGGTTGGCAATTCTGGAAAATTCTTAGTGACTGGATACTCTACTAAACAAAACAAACAGTTCTTCTGTTACCTATGGTGCATGACAATAAAATTGTTGTCAGATCAAAACAATTGTCTTTGTTTTTATTTACTGGTTTTATTTTCATCTAGCAGTGAGGACAAGCTTCTGCTATGGCATGCATCTCAAATAGTCTTTAACAAAGTGCCCAGCTCCAAGCTAGACTAGAGGTAAAAAGGGTGGACTACTGGAACTTCATAACCAGCTGCTTTAGGTACATAGAACTCATCAGCCCAGGGAGACAGAGAAGGAAAATCTTGATGTTAAACCTCTGCTGCCTTGCAGTCATATGGAAAAGGCTATGGAAGTAAATCCAGAAAGAAAAGTTTTTTTTTTTTTTTTTTTAAATTTTCAACCTTAAGAATTTTGCAATGATGAAAACTAGTCAGAATTTTACTGAAAATAATTCATTGAAAAAGAAAGGAGAAATTATATTCATGTGATTATCTGTGTTATGCGTGTGAGTGTGCCACGTGGTCATTTGAAATAAAGTTGGCTTGCCATCCCACTTAGTCATCCCATATGGTAAGTGGGTTGTCTTGTCACTATCACATCCTGAGAGGAAGACAGTTATGTCTTTTCCTTTTATACTGTTTATTAGCACAGCACCTTGTGGTATTAAGAGAAGTCTTCTGGCAGACATAGGATAATCCCATAACTAATTTATGGGAGAGTCATATAGATTTTGGCACTACTTAAATAGAGTGGTCCACTCATTAAAAAAAAAAAATTAGTATAAACTTATTTCGAGCAATAATTTTGGTAGATTAGCAATCATTGGATCTTCGTTAAGGTGCAACATTTGTCAGACTTGAAAAATGTTGATTTTTTTTTTTTATTAATAATCCGAAGAGGGGGAATTCTGTTCATAATATCAATATAGTCTAAAATCAATTGCTAACTTTTTAATAGTTATTGGACTTTGCTGTTATTTACAAATGTCAAAATTGAAACTGCATTTCTGAATTTTTGTAACATTTTGGGGGAGGAGGGGATTTTTTTCCATGCACAAAAATTTGAAGATAATTATTTATCTTGAATGAAGAATAAATGGACATTTACTTTTATTAATAAGTATTTTTGTAAAAAAATGAAAAGAAAAATGTACATTTTCAGGTGGTGATGAGCAGTTATGTTCAGATAACTCAAAAATTCAGGAGTCAATTTTCCACAGTATCAACATTATGAACAGGCTACTCACCACTTCTAAAAAGATTTAAATAAAAAAATCTAAAAATGATTTAAATAAAAAAAAAAAAAAAAAAAAAACAATACTGACAGATGCTACAGATCTAAGGAATGCTAATCACCAAATTAT